TGGTGTAGAAGCCAAGGTGGACAGAGTTCAAGAAAGAGGTTAAAGCTAGAGGTGTACATCTGGAACTCATTAGCCTACAAATGGCATTTGAAGGGATGAGACCCAATGAAACCTTTGAGAGAGTAAGTATAGATATAGACCAGAAGATGAGAACTAAACTCTGGAATATTTTGATGTTTAAGAGACAGGTGATAAAGGAGAGCAAGAAAGGCAGGGGAAACACAGACAGCGGTGTCCTGGAAGTCAAATGAAGAAAGAATTCTCAAGGTTGGGAATGATCAACTTTATTTAAGACTTAGAATTTACCAAGGAATTTAGCACACAAGGGTCTTGGTAACTTTGACAAGCAGAAAGTAGATGGTGAAAGGTATGAGAAGACTAAACCCAGGTTGGAGCTAGTTGAAGAGACAATCGGAACAGAGAAACTAAAGGCAAGTCTTTGGGAGAGTTTTGCTGCAAAGTAGAGGAAAGAAATGAGGCAGTAATCTATGGGAAGTAAGTCAACAGTTGCTTTTTATCTCTCTCTCTTTTTTATTATAGGGAATTTCAAATGTATTAAAGTAGGTGTCACCCAGTTTGAAACAAAAATAACTCATTTCATCTCTTCCTCCATCTACTTCTTCCCATCCCTAATTTTTGTCAGGTAATTCATTGGTATATTTTCAGTATGTTCCTTTCAAAAACTAATTTAAATTCCACTTAGCAAAGCAAGAAGGAAAATTAATGGCATTTCCTTAACACTATCAACCACTTATCTTGCTATTAGCAGTCCAATGTTTATCCTACAGTGTCACACCAGGAAAGTATGTGTGTGTGACACTGTAGGGTAAGGACTGGTTCAAACGCATCACCCACTCCTTGGAAACAGCGTACATGATCACTGAGTCGGAACTGACTCGATGGCACCTAAAAACAAAATATTTATGTTTTGTTGCTACTTACTGTCGAGTCATTTCCAACTCATAATGACCTTATGCACAACAGAACAAAACACTTTCCAATCCTGTGCCAACCACACAATTTCCGTTACACTTGCGCCTATCGCTGCTGCGACTGTGCCAATCCATCTAATTGGTGGGGGGGTCTCCCTCTTTTTCGCCAACCCTCCACTCTATGTATATATATAGAGAGAGAGAGGGAGTCTAGTGTGGTGCTGTTGGATAAGCACTTGACCATAAGGTCAGTTTGAACCACATGGTTAGCAGTTCAAACTCACCATCTGCTCCTTGGAAATGCTATATGGGGTCACGATGAGTCAGAACCGACTTGACAGCACATAAAAACAACAACAATGTATGTATTGCCATGTGTGTATATTCACTATTTAGACATTAAAGGGAAATGTCATAGTTATGTATTTGTCCAGCCTTTCTCAGCTTTTTTTTTAAAACTTTACTGTGAACTAAAAATAACTGAAATCATTTTTAATGTATTATTCAGTGGCATTAAATATATATGTCATGAGATGCTTTTTTGTTGTTGTTTGATCACTGAGTTTAGACATATTTGATGTGCTACTTGTAGTCATTGTTCTTACTGATGCCCAAAGGAAACTGCTGTAAGATGGGAGAAATAACTGTATTCCAGGTGGGAAAGGGCCGTCATTCTCTAACTTTTCTTTTTCTTTTTTCTTTTGTAATGGCTGCTGTAAGTGATTAACTCTACTGTTGAGTCTGCAGTGTTTCTAGTTTTTCCTATTCATGCAAAGTCGTGATAAGCATCCACTGTACACATCAATGGAGTCCTGGTGTGGCATTGTGGATTAATAGGGTGGACTGCATGACCAGTTTGAACCACAAGGTCAGCAGTTTAAGCTCTCCAGCCACTCCTCAGAAACCCTATACAGGGTAACTATGAGTTGGAACCAACTCGAGGGTACTTAACAACAACAACATGCACATGAATATTTATTTATGCATTAGAGTTTTTATTCGTCTAGGACACATTTCCTAGGATGGAGTTACTGTGTAGGAGATGTTTATGTTTTTAAAGAAATGTTCCTAAATTGCCTTAAAAACTGCTTTAACAATTTACAGTTCTACCAGCAATATGTGAGGGTACCTTTCCTTTTGTCTCTCTCTGTCAGCATTCTTGACTCATTGGCCATTCTGAAAGTAGAGAGGTGATATCCCGGGGTTTGTATTTCCTGTTAGTGGTGTTGAATATCAGTTCATGTGTGTTCATACATTTGAATCAGCTTGTGTATGAATTACTGTCTTTTGTGCATTTTAACTTTCTTTTTCTTGTCTGTTTTTAATAGGTCTTCATACAATATTGATATTAACTCTTTTCTGTAAAATTTTTTTGTATTGTATCAATTATTTTTGTGTGATCTAAATTTAGTTTTGATTGTTCCTGGGGTTCTTATATTTCATAAACAGCTCTTTCTAACCTCCAGTTTATACTTGTGCAGATTTGCTGTACAGTTGCTTTGTACAGAACTGTTAATGCTGGCTGTCTTTCTCCACAGCACAATGCTGTGCTCCAGAATTGCAGTGGCCACACTGAACTCTGTACCCTACTCACAGTTAAGGGGTTTGTTAGGGAAGTTAACATGATGGAATACAAGAAAGCGCTCAGGACACAGTTGTTCTGTGTGGACAGCTTCACCCCAGCTGCGCCCACAGGCAGGCCTCTCTCTGTCTGGCCAGAGTTACAATATTCTTTTTGAGCTGTTGGTAAATACCCACAGGACACACCACTCCACCATAAGCCTCAGCTTGAAGGCGCTCGGCTCAAGCTTTGTGGGTCAGCAAACCCAGCTCCTTGCCCCAACTAAGTGCCTGTAGTCAGCCCGCTCTGCAAGCAAGCCTCCTGACCAGTCACTCCTCTGCTTGCTCCCTGGGCTGGGCGCCCTCTGCTGTGGTTCTTGGTTCTGCTTCTGCCGCTCCCCCTGGGTCACAGCTCTCGGTCCTCGGGGTGAAGACATTCAGTGCACAGGGATCACTGGGTCCATTTCTGGTTCTTCTTATTAGTAGTAAGAGTCACCCCAGCTGCTGAAGTGGTTCATTTTATACCCAGCATGTTGACAAACCTGAGTAATCGCGGTTCGCCCTGTTTACAACAACTCCCAGCTCGATCGTACCATCCATCAGCATCTTTCACCACCTTTTCTTACCCAGATCCATCTAGTTTACAAAGACTATGGCTCAAAGCAACATTGAATAACTCACTATACCACACTGTGGTTGATTAATTTTATTCATTAACCACTGAGATTTCAGTTTAAAAAATGCAATACAAAATCCATAGACTACATACAAGCTTCAGTAGCTTATACTTCAAACTAAAGAAAACAAGAAATCCTCACAACTGGATCAATTAGCAACCTCAGAAGTGGGGGAAATAATGAAATTAATCAGGAATGCATTTTGCTTGGATCCACAGTCACACCCATGGAAATCAAATTACATACTGCACTGAAAAAGTCTGTTGTAAAAAACCTCTTTAAATTGTTAAAAAGCAAAGGTATCACTGCAAAGACTAAGGTACAGCACATAAATAAAACCGGGGGAAAGAACCACATGATCAAATTGATTGATACAGAAAGGCATTTGACAGAATTGTGACTCTGAGACCAAAAGAACTAGGTAGGTGGTTTCCAGCTCCCACTACCAACTGCTCTGAAATGGACCACATTAGAAGGTCCCAGATAAATGGCAGAAAATGTGGGACAAACCTCAAAACTATATTAAAAAAAAAAAAAAAGACTGGACTTATTGATCAGAAGAAGACTGGAGGATTCTAAGATGGTGGCTCTCAACTACCCTTTAGGTTTGGAGTGGAACTTACCCTCATAGACTAATTTTCAGCTAAGCAGTTGATAGGTACATAGGAGGAGTCACACTAAACGTGCTCCCCATGGAAATGTCAGTCATTCAAGATCAGAAGGACGGCATTTACCTAAGGACTAAGTTTCAAAGGGATGGGAAGGAGGAGGGAATACAAATGGGAACCACACGGAGGAAGTGGGAGAACTGCTGTTGCATGGAGGAGATTGCAAGTGTATGATTTGTGGAATGTAAAACTGATCTTGTCCATAAACCTTCACTCAATTCACCATAAAAAGGAAAAAAATATTAAGTTCTTGTAGTCAGTAAAAATCATGTTTCTAAAAGAATTCAATCTCAAAAAACCCCCAAAAAATAGCCTAGTACTCGTATAACAATAGAGCCGTAGATCAATGAAACAGAATTGAGAACCAAAAATAAATCCATCCATATACAGTCAGCTGACCTTTGACAAAGGGCCACAACATATCAGATGGGGAAGAGATAGTCCTCAACAAATGGTGCTGGCGAAAATGGAAATCCATCTGCAGAAAAATGAAACAAGATCCATATCTCACACCATCTAGGAAAGCAAACTCAACATGGATTGAATACCTGAATGTAAAACCTAGAACTAGAAAGATTATCAATGAAAAAAAAAAAAAAAATAGAGACAAACTCAGTGTCTTATACATGGCATAAATATGCTACCAAGCATGACTGGTGGTGGTGGTGGTTATCATAACCAATAACATAAATAGCAGAAGACAAAATAAATGACTAGGACCTCCTCAAAATTAGATACTTCTGTACATCAAAAATTTTCACCAAAAGAGTAAAGAGAATACACAGACTGGGAGAAAATAATTTTTCAGTGACATATCAGACAAAGGACTAATCTCTTATGTTTATAGAAAACTATGATAGCTCCACAGCACATGGTAACAATGACACATGTTAGATTTCTGTGTCCTATTTCTGTTGTCTTTACTATGTTCTGATCTGCCCTACTGTCTCTTTGCCAATAATGATACTTTTTATTTACTGTGGCTTTAAAATATTTTAAATCTGGAATAGCAAGCCACTCGTTAATATTTTTTGTCATAATTTTCTTGGCTGTTAATAAGACAGTTATACATTTATTTTTTTGGCGGAAGTGTTAAAGAAAAGAATACTCTGATGCTTGGATAATGCTTTTTGGGGAGCAGGGTGGGGTAGGAGAAGCAAGACTGGAAACGGGGAGACAGTTTGGAAGCTGTTGCGGGGCATATGAGATGGTGATGGCTGAACTAGTAGGATAGCGTCGGTGGACGTGCCATAAGATGAGGCTGACAAGTCACAAAGTTTGTATAGAAAGGTACACCAGTAAGCTTGCAGCAGGAGTAAAAATTAGTGAAGTACAAATGCTAGTACATGAAATGTTTGGATGAGAATCGTTGTTCTCACTGCAGTTGGTTTCTTTTTACTTTTTATTTTTAATTTAGCTCATAAACTGAATGTGGTTGGACAAGTAAAGTGCCAGAGGCTGGCTGGCTGTAGATGTGATTGTTTAGAAAATTCTGTCTTGTTGCTAAGTACTGTCGGTTACAACTCATGACCCTGTTTAGGGTTTCTGAGGAGTATCTGGTGTGTTTGAACCACTGAACTTATGGTTGGCAGTCCAGTGTTTATACTATAGCACCACACCAGAATTCTGAAATCTATAAAAACTTAACTGAAACTTACAAGTGAGTTCAGTAAGGTTGCAGGATACAGGACAATATATAAAACTAAAGTATATTTCTATATATTTATCTTATTGTTGTTAAGTTCCATCGAATCGGTTCCCACTGTGTAGGGTTTCCAAGGAGCTACTGGTGGATTTGAACTGTCAGCCTTCCAGTTCAAATCGGCCTTGAGGTCCAGTGTTTTTTCTACAGCACCACACCAGGAGTCCATATATTCATATTAGCCAAAAAAAAAAAAAGAGAGAGAGAGAAATTACAATACGGTGCATGAAATACTGAGAGAAATCTGACAAAAGATGTGTGGGGATAATAAGGTAGATATCAAGAAAGATAAACATGATTTCTAAGCAGTTTTATAAAAAAAAAAAAAAAATTCTTTCTACCCAGCTCATAGCAGGTAGTGATAATTTCTTCTTACAAAGCAGCTGTTGGTGTTAACTGTAGAATACATGTGACGGTATAATGATAAGCACATTTATGTCCATTTTAATTTTCCCTTACCTTGTTTTTATTTTTTAAATCCCCAAGCAATGGGCTACTTTTGCTCGAATGTGGTATCTGTTAGATGGGAAAATGCAGCCCCCCGGCAAGCTTGCTGCTGTAGCGTCCATAAGGCTTCAAGGATTGCACAAGCCCATGTACCATCAACTGAGTGAGTAGCACTTTAGACCTGTCTGTCTTTAACCATCATTGAGACCTTTGTCTGGGCTGCTTTTCAGGGTCCTGGTTTTTGATTTGTTTTTTTCTGGGCACCCTTTATTTCATTCTTGTTAAATATCATTGTTGTTAAGTGCCATCGAGTCTGTTCCGACTCATAGTGACCTTAAATAGGGTTTCTGAAGAGTACCTGATGGGTTTGAACCCCCCAACTTTGCAACCTGTCCTACAGTGCCATACCAGTTGGCAATTGTTGTGTGCCATTGAGCCAGTTTTAACACCTAGCTACCCTGTATAGGATTTCTTTCCAAAGCAGATCTTTACAGAAGTAGAAAGCCTGATCTTTCTTGTACAGAGCAACTGGTATATTCAAACTGCTTTTGAATAGTTGCCCAACAGACCAGGTGCTGTTAAGTACCGACCCTACAGAGGGTTTCTAAAGCTTTAACTCTTGAGAGTAGAAAGCCTCATGTGATTGAATGAGAATCAAATCTCCCAGGGAACAATTAGCACACTCGAGCCACAGACTTTGTGTTCATCATAAGGAGCCACCACGCTCCCCAGGATATTATTGTTGTTAAATGCCATCGAGTCGGTTCCGATTCATAGCGATACAGCGTACAACAGAACGAAGCACAGCCCAGTTCTGCACATCCTCACAGTTGCTACTTGCTTGGGCCCATTATTGCTGCCACTGTGCCAGTCCATCTCGTTGGGGTCTCCTTTTTTGCCCACAGACCATCTACTTTACCAAACATGATGTCCTTCTCAAGGGACTGGTCTTTCCTGATAATATGTCCAAAGTATGAGAGATGAAGTCTGCACAGCATGGCTTCTAAGGAGCAATCTAGGAAGTTGTACTTCTTCCAACACAGATTTATTTGTTCTTCTGGCATTCCATGATACTTTAATATTCTTCTCCCACACCGTTACTCAAATACATGAATTTTTGCTCAATGTTCCTTATTCATTGTCCAATGAGATGTGAAAATACCATGGCTGGGGTCAGACACCCTTTAGTCCTCAAACTGACATCTTTGCTCTTCAGTACTTTAAAGAAGTTCAGTGCAGCAGATTTGCCTATTGCAATAAATATTTTGACTTCTTGGTTGCTGCATCCACGAAAGTTGATGGTGGATCCAAGTAAATCAAAGTCTTTAAAAACTTCAATAATCTTTTTTCCATGTATCATGATGTTATTTATTGGTCCAATGGTGAAGATTTTTTGTGTCATCAGTATATCACAGATTGTTAATGAGCCTTCCTCCAATCCTGATGGCATGTTCTTCTTCATGTATTCCACCTTTTCAGATTATTTTCTCAGCATACAAATTAAATAACTATTGTGAAAGAGTACAAGCCTGGCACACCCATTTCCTGATGGAAGTTTTAAGTTGTTCTGTCTGAACAACTGGCTCTTGGTCTATGTATAGGTTCCCCATGAGGACAATTAAGTTTTCCAGAATACTCCTTCTCCACATTGTTTACCATAACATGTCATTATCCACACAGTTGAAAAACTTTGTATAGTCAATAAAGTACA